ATCAGAGGGCATGAAAACATTCATTTCCCAATATACAGGAAAGACTCTGAGATTCTCAGCAGCAGCAATTGGGAATTCGCTAAAATGCAAAATCTCAGCAACCCCCCCCCCTGCCGCCCCCGCCACTTTCATTAACCCAGAAATTCTGAGGTGGATAGGGGGAGGGGAAGTAATCTGATTGCACGTTCTCCAGGGGGCCCTGATGCATGTGAAGTATAAGATCACAGCTTTCAGGTAATGGGCGGCATGTCTTGAATGGCTGCCTGGACTTGGGTTGCAGCTCTGAAGGGGCTGCTTTCCTCCAAAGCCTCAGCCTCCCTGTTTACAACAAGAAAAAGGCGCATGCTTAGAGGAGTATTGCACGGATCCCATGGCACAGCACCTGGCACGGGGAGTTCCCAGTGCTGGTTAGTATGAAACCATCTCTAGAGGGGACCTCGCAAGGGGCTGACCACCTCGGGGTCAGCCCAACAGTGAGAGACTTGCCAAGATTGGGGTTTTCATATTACATGCTTGTAGTAACTTTACACTAGGGTCCTCATTTCTAGTTTATGAGGTTCACTTCTCCCAGAGTTCTGCAGAGAGCCCCATGAGGCTGAGGCTGCTCCTAGGTCCACCCTAACAGGGCCTAGCCTGGGGGGCCCCAGGGGTCAAGGTGCCTGACCTTGACCTGAGGGAACAGAGTTGCACATAGCCAGCCCTCTGGGGGCTGGGAATGGGGTTCAAAGAGTGGGAGGGGTGAGGTCATGAACCCTGATGACCTCTGCTAGGGGTCTGGGAGGAAGTGGGGTTAAATCATTGGCTCAAAGGGCCGTCCTGGCTCTAAAACCCCAGCACCTGCTTCAGATGCGCTTCTCACCTGTCTCCTTGTTGGAGTGGAAGCTCCATTGGCCCAGAGGGTTTCACCCTACTCTGTGTCCCTACACTGTCAACACTTTGTAGGCATTAAAGTACTTCTGTGTGGGTGACTGGCAGCTCTGTTGTTAAAAAAACAAAGGGCTCTTTGGTAAGATGAGGGTTCCATGGGCCCAGGGCGGAGCTACATCTGACCTAGAGGCCCAGCTCCCGCTGGCCCACAAGGTGCCGGTGTGTGGGTTCTCATTGGGATGGAGGGAGAGGTCAGCTCAGGTCATTTTGGAGTGACCCACTTTGGAGTGAGCTGGAAAGCCACTTATCATGGACCCAGGTGTCAGGAAATGCTACCACCACAACCTTCACTAGCTCCTTGGCAAATGCAAGTTCCCTCTGGCTGAACACAAGCCACTCTTTCCTAGCACCTGCCTGCCCACCGCTGAGGCCCAGTTGCTCTGCCTGGGCTCATGAGCAACCCCCAGGGGGCAGCTGAGAGCCCCGACACTGCCCTGTTGTGCCCAGGGTGATTCGCCAGCCAGAGCAGGCTGGGTGGAGGGAGCAGATGATGAGACACCTGGTGGCGTGAAACTGAAGACAGGAGGTCCAACCCTGAGTGACAGGCATCAGGCAGGCTTCCCTCCAAGCACAGGGACATCCTCTAGGCCCTTGCTCTCAAGGGTCCCTCAACGCCCTGCCAGCCATTTCCTTGCCACCACCGCCCCACCCCCCCCAATCCGTGCAGGACACAGCTCCCTACTCTGAGCCTAAGCAGAGGCCTCCTCAGCAGATGGCCCCATAGAGCAGCTATTCAGTCAGGCTCCTAAGCTGTAACCCTGAACATGCTGCTGGGATTTACCCCCATGTCCGGCTCCAGCCAAAGGCCAGACTCTGTGCCCAGTACCAAGTGGTCAGCGCTCACAAATTCTGTGATAATCACTGCCCTCCCTCATTTGAAGCTTTTATTAGCTGCTCACTAAATGGGCACTATTTTATGCCCGCTATTTCTGGGTTTTATTGTCCATTGGTGCTAAAGAGGAAACGGAGTTTATCTTTCAGAAGGATGTTTGGGAAGCATCCAAAGACTCTGGTCTAGGTGACGGTCCCACAACAGGCAAAGCAAGCCCTGCCCTTTTCCAGGCCTGAGTAGCTTCTCCCTGGAAAAATAAGGGAGTGTCTTTCAGTTCTGTGAGTTTAGGATTACACTTTAAGAGAATACACAAAATGACCAAGAAAGGTTTGCTGAAGAAAAATTCCCCAGAATTTAGTGGTATTTTGCAAACATGCTGAGCACACACAATTGTTAGTGATTAGAGCTACCTGGTAGTATTTTAGTCAAGGTCCTTTTGGTTCTGTGTAAGAAAAATTCACTTCAGATTGATTTTTTTTAAAGTCAAAATGCATTCTAAGGATACCTGAGGGATTGATGCAGTCCATGGCAAGGATGCAGGAAAAGTTCACTGGCCTGCTGGCTACAAGGCAGCTGCTCTCTCTCCCACGTGCTCTCATGTCTCTATTTTCTGCTTGTCCACATGGCACCGGCTCAGGGTTCCTGACTTGTAAGTGCCCTGTGTGCACTATCACCCCAGAGACTGGAACTTCTTCCCCTTGTAAAATTTTTAGGATAAAGCATTTTCCTGGGCCTCTTTGAATCAGAAGATCAACCCTGGTCCAATCAACTGGTGTGTGGGGGAGGGGAGGGGAGCAGTCATTGTATATAAACATGGCCCCACAACAGTGTCCTGAAAGAGGTGCCCAGTGTATCAGCAGGTTGCTTTAGCTGTCGGTACTTAAATACAACAACAAAAACAAAGATGTCTATACTTCTCTATTTCAAGTGGCATCTCCCCCCCCCAACAAATTCTTACTGAACTAGCCACAGCTTCAGAAATGTAATTACTTACACTTTGTAATGTTCTACTGAATAATGAAACCCAAGTAGAAGAGGTTAAAACAGCTGCTCCTTGTTTTACTGCTCTCACTGGGCTTGGCTGATGCTTTTTATTTTCATCACATCTTACAGGAGTGATGAAGACGAATCCGATCACAAAAGGTACCCTCTTTCATAACGTCTTTTTTCTTTTTAACAGTGTGCATGGGTGTCAGCATGACATTAAAGCTGGATGTTCAGGGAAGCCTGTTTCGTGGGCACACTGCACACAGCCTGGTTCTCAACGCCAGACGATACCTCCCATTCTGAAGAGTGCAGGAGCCATGAGAGACAGGAGTTTCAGGCCGCACTTTCTGTGTCCTACAGCGGGCAGGGCAGGAAGAGCCAGTCAGTCTCCAGCCTGCTATCCTTCTCTTTATAAGGACCTCACAGCTACTGACATCCCTACCGAGAAAGCACACAGCACACACAGGTATAGGACTGGACAGCATCTTAATGCAAAGCACGCATGTCAACAGCCTAGAGCCTGACAGACATTGTTATTCCAAAACATGCAGAGGCGGCAAGTCACCCAAAACCACAGTTTATTCTATGAACTTCATATTGCTTTTCTGTTATTTAAAGACTGAAGCAAAGTGACATGGATGGAAGTATTCTGTTAAAAGAACAAAGTGAGTCAATCACAGCACAGGCAACTAATAACACTTGGGTCTATGCCACACGCTCCAAACACAGGGCTGAGTCCAGGAGTGGCTCTGTTCTGGGTTCTTGTAAAGCAAATGGAAATACTGGGAAGAATCAACACATTTCAAGAGAGGAGCCATAAATGCCCTGAAAGCAGAAAGTTGACACAGTTTTAAATATAATTCATATATATATATTTTAAAATCAAACACAATTAAATAGAATATGGTTTAAGTACATGAACACTTGGCTTTAGAAGAATAACAGAGGTGGTACACAGTACCAAAACCCACACACAGCCTTTCTGCTTCGTCTGTTGATGAAATGGCGTGCCTCTTGCACAGTCAGGTATTGCAGTAGAAGGAACTCTTATTCATTCAAGACTTTCTCAAGGACAGAGATGATTAATAATTATATATTTATATGTGTATATATATATATTTTTTTTGCAAAGTCTGAGCAAAAGCAGTAACACCTAAGAGAACGTTCTTTCCGCAACAGTCCGGGCAGCGAGGCCATGCTGGCAGCACCCACCATGGAGTGTGCTTACTGCCAGGGTGGCTCTGCCGAGGGCAGTGTGGCCCAGACCCTGAGGCCGACAGAGTGGAAGTGCAGCGAGGGGCCTCTCATGACCATGGACGAAGGAGAAAGGCCACGAGCTGCACACTGCCGGCACAGCCAAGATGGGTGGCGGGGGTCAGAGACGAGGGCCTTTCTCCCCCACCCTTGCCTGCCCACACCCCTGCCCACCACCTGCTTTAAAAAAGTGTACAACTGGGAACAAACATTTGTTCAAGGAACCACAGGGGAAAACTGGAGTGACAGTTGTTGCAAATTCCTTTCCTTGTGTGCTATGAGGGGAAGGACATCTCTGGAGCATAGAAGTTGGAGGAGCAGGGCCTGATGCTCACAGTGCAGAGGGTGGCCCCTCTGGCAGGGGACCTGGTTTACGTGTACTGCATCCCGGGAGCAATTAAAATGTGAAAATGGCAAGTTGCCACCAAAGGGAAGGACAATGTCACCATGACTTGACCCGTGACCTCTCAGCTTCCTTCCAGATGAACGCCTCTGTGCAGGCCCTATTCCCAGGAAGGAAAGCCATCTGCCGGCACTGCGCTGTCTGGCTGAGGCCAGGCCGACTCACCTGTTTGTGTAGGAGATGGAGCAAAGCACCCCGGGCACCCACCTCATGATGCGGCTGGAGTAGGAGACCGTCAAGGCAGCGCATCAAACACCAGCTCCACGCCCACCCGCCTCCCATGGCGCCTGGCCCTGCAGATCCCCATGGGCTAAATTCTTCTGTGGATGGGTTATTGCCATTGGAAAACGATTAATCTCTAGTAGTGTAAACAGTGCCCCTTGGTCTCTCTGACTGTCACTCTGCGATCATCTGGGTGGCAGGGCATCTACGAGCCACTCTCCATGGTGGAAGTCCAGGATTGTCCGCCCTTCTTTCCTGGGAACGACAGTGAGAAGAAATACAGTGCTGTTTTCATTGGCTGTGGTGAGGAATCCAACCAAAGGAAAAAAGTTTTCTTATTTTCCAAAAGCAGATTTCCTTGATCTCAGGTCTGAGTCATATCTGAAAAAAGGAAGGAAAAGACAAAGGTAAGGTAATTTCTACAACCAGGGACACACTACCATCACAAGGGGACGCAGTGCTGAGTGAGTGCCTCCCGCGTGCCAGGTACTGTGTACCACCTCAGGACCCTGCTACAATCACCTCCATTTACAGCAGAGTCGATGAAAGGCTGAAGATGCCGAGTGGCCCACCCAAAGGTAACATGACGAGGACTGACAACCAGACTTGCTTTTTTTATCTTTCCATCTAGGTGATAGATATTAGAATGAAATATCTACTTTTTGACAAATAATTCTGTTTCTAGGAACTAACTCCACAGCACACTCATAAGAAGGGACAAAGACTTTCATACACTATTCATTAAAGCATTGTTTTGTGACAGGGAACAATCCCAGACAACCAAATAACCATCTGCTGGGGATTCACGAGATGGAGACAGAACCATAACATGGAATTCTCCAGAGCTTCTAGCAAGAAAACAGAGACTTGCAATCTTCTGGCTACCTGAGACCAAGCTTCTGAAGCTGATTGCACCTTCTCACTGCACTGACAAGGAAACAAACATCACACAAGACACGGTCCTTACTATCTGTGAGATGGGACATACACATACAAAATAAGTCATTAATGCCCTGAGTTTAAATGCCCAAGTGCTTTCTACAGACAAATGCCCGGCAGTCAATTCAAAGCAAAGAGATATCCATTCGGGTTAAGGAGAAGCTGTGACCTCATCTGTGGGGGCAGGACTTTCACATTCACACAGTCATGGACTGAGAATTACAGGGGATCTTAGGAGATTTTCTTGTCCAACTTCTCTGATCTGCTGATAAGGAAAAGAAGGGACCAGAAAGAAGCAACTCGCATAGGGTCACACATACTGACCAGGAATGGACAGTGCTAGGTCTGCTGACTCAGGGCTTTGACCACAACAAGGGCTCTGACCACACCTGCAGGACCATCATCTCAGCCAACCAAAGAGAAGGCCAAGTAAGGTTAGAAGCAAAGTATTCCTGCATATCTTACACATGAAAAGCACACATGATAATAAAATCTGAACACACAACAATGAAAAGCCTTAAGCTGAAAATCTGTTTTCCAAAATGGGTTTCTAAAGAACAATTTTATACTGTAGAACATCTGATCATCAACATGGTAACTGGGATCACAGAAACAACCATCCTGCACTTCTTTCTACACCTTTATCTTGCTCTTTGCTATTTTGGGTTTGACTAAGCCAGTAAGGATAAATATAGGTACAAATTATCACTGTTACACAGAAAAGAGGACAGAGTCTGCAAAAGTGAGCAGAGCTTTGGTCTGAATTAGCTCAGTGAAAAGTTCAAAATTACACCAAGCTCTGATAATGACAGTTCTTAGCGTAAAAAGCTGGCAAGGAACGGGTGATGCTGGACCCACATCTCAATTCCTGCCTCCAAACTATGGAGGGTCACAGGGGACGTCACGTGAACACAGGTAGCTCGGGTTCCTAGCTCCTGCTAACGTGAACGACACAGAGCAGTTTAACACCATCATCAGGAGTCTGAGCAGAAGTTCTCCTGTCACAGGAAGTCCTCCTGAGTCAACCCAGGTTACAGAACGCAAAGCTAGAAGAACACTGGGAGTCTTTTCTTGAAGAAAACACCAGGGGGCTAAGTGGCTCTCTCCAACTTGCTGGGTTATCATGTAATATCAACATTTAATGCTACAAATCTGCCTGTAGGAACACCTTCAGCAGTACCCCACAGGCATGGCCATCCCCCAGGAATGGTGAGGCACTGTTTCCAAGGCCCCTGCAGATACCAATAAGTCGAGAATGCTCGAGCCCCTGACACAGTGTGGGGCGTGGTATTTCCATATAACTCACACACCTCATCCTGAGTACCTGAAGTCACCTCTCGCTTACTTATAATTACCTAATACAATGTAAATGCCATGTAAATAGTTGCCGGGCACGGCAAATCAAGTTCTGCTTTTCAGAAATTTTTTTTAAAGAAATGTATTTTTGATTCATGGTTGGCTGGAGCAGAAGTTCCCTTTCGTGCTGCACATTTGTATCGAGATCTAATTCTCTTTTGTTTCATGCAGGCTGGGTCCTTACCTTTGTGGACTTCTCTAATGGCTGATCACACTGGGCCTGCTGCATCACATCACTGACTATCATTTTAGCAATCTTCCAAGCTAGCTCCTCCTGGGCCTAAAAAAGTAATTAAGTTGTTGATAACAGTTATTTGCTAGAAGAACCAACAAACATTATTAGTGCTCTAAACACAACTGTGTATACATATCATTTCTACGTATTTGGAAAGAAGCACATTCTTATGCATCAAAGGACCCAGGCCGCCCTCTGGTTTTGGTATGTTTACATATGATTCACTGGTCCCCAGAGTCAGCTACAGGCCAACCAACAGCATGACTAGTTTCATGTTAGATGGTCAAAATCAAACATTTTTCTTCTTCCACTCTCGTCTTTCAATGTACCTAACTATTCCAAAGAGCAAACCTCTATTTCTGAAAGTATACCTGACAATGAGGAAGGAACTGTTTGAATTTTGTTGTGGCACTGATCACTGATGCCTGCTGACTGATGGGAACCTGACTGCTTGACTGTTTTCTGTGGTCAGAGACTCTGGACTGAGGACCACTGCTTCCAGGCAATTTTAGATCTTGGAAGGGCCACCCCTTCCGGTCACCTCTGAGACAAGGAAGCAATAAGGTGCCATGCTGCTTAAGCATCAGGAACTAAGGAGAGAGAAATCCTGAAACCTTACTTAGAATAAGTGCCCCTGATAAGACAGAAATCTTTTTACACTACAAGTAGAATTTACCTCATCAGTATTTCCTTGCACCCATTTCTTCATAGCTTGAGAGAACATGGATCCTAGTAAACAAAGCCAAAGTTGAATGTAGACCTCATGCATAATTTTACATTAAAAAAGACTATTAAAAGCCATTTCCCAGTTTTTAAAATACAAACTTTAAAAAAATTAAAAAAAAATCATTTATCTATTTTTGGCTGTGCTGGGCCTTCACTGCTGCATGGGCTTTCCTCTAGTTGGAGCTAGTGGGGGCTACTCGCTAGTTGCAGTGCTTGGGCTTCTCACTGTGGCAGCCTCTCTTGTTGCAGAGAGCGGGCTCTAGGGTATGCATGCTTCAGTAGTTATGGCACATGGGCTCAATAGTTGTGGCTCCTGGGCTCCAGAGCACAGGCTCAGCAGTTATGGCTCCCAGGGTCTAGAGCAGCACAGGCTTAGCAGTTGTGCACATGAGCTCAGTTGCTCTGCGGCATATGGGGTCTTCCCGAACTAGGGATCAAACCCACGTCTCCTACATTGGCAGGCAGATTCTTCACCACTGAGCTACCAGAGAAGTCCCAGAAGATACTTAAAAAAAAAAAAAAAAAAAATATGTATATATATATATATATATATATATATGTATATATATATATTTTGTACAACCTCACTCCCAAATTAAGGCCATTAACAAAAACTGATTACATTGTTTCCATAAGAGAATATTTAACTTGCAAATATGGCTTGAAAAAACTTTGAAAAGCTGTTTTACAGCTTGAGGTTTTTCTTCTGTTCTCCTCACTTGATGAAAGAAACTATCAACCAGTGTTAAAATTTGCAGTAAACATTCAAAGATCAAATAAAACCAGGACCAGGATCTGGCCTTGAGGGCAGAATCTAACAGTACATCAAGAGGTATAATCCACTGACAGGTGGATGGACATCAATCTTTCAGACCAGCTCCTCTACAAAAGGGTTCCCAGTGCAGATGTTGTTGCTACACATTGGATCTCTGGTCTGCGAATTTGCTGGGTAAGATCAGTGTTTTAAACAGCCATGCTCTGTCCAGGCTATAACAACTTCCCAGGAGACACACAGCCTCTCCACACATCTGTACTTAAAACACTGAGGCACTACCGAGGAAGGAGGCTAGGCTCTATTTCCGTGAATTAAACACACAGCTTATCCTTTCATGAATACAAACAGGCTCACATTTAACTCAGCCTTAAACCAAGTGGCTGGTACCCTGTTTCTCAGGCAAGATCCTGATTACTTCAATGACTGGGGTAGTCTACAGTAAACTGTAGTATTCATGAAAAATACAAAACCTGGATCCTTTCCACTTAATAATTTGTATTACTAGCCAGAAGTCGAAATACTGATCTTGTTAAACTTTATGGCCAGGCAGAGTCAACATTACATGGCCACAACATTACATGTTCTGCCTAAAGTCTCAAACAGCTGTTGAACCCACTGAATTTCTTGGTGCTCAGCTCTTTCTCCAGGCTATTGACAGCCTCTACTTGCGAAGGCTTCCCTCTCTTCTAGCAGCACCTCCCCCGCTCCAGAGGAGCTTCTTCAGGATCCTGTTGTTCCCTCAGCACTTTCTCTGGGGTATCTCATCCCCTCCTTGGCTTCAACTTCCTTCAAAATGCAAATAACTCAAAAATTTGTTCTTAGGTGTCATACCAATACTTAATTTAAAAGTTGTCCTAAGACATTTCAAACTTAACCTGCTCCAAGTAGAGCTCTTCTCTCATATACCTTTTTGTAGCCTTCATCTCAGACAATAATTTAATCCTCTAATGAAAATCAACATCATAACATTTTATTTAGAGAACCCATGTTAAAACCTCATCTGCCTTCCTCATTTATTTTCCCCGTGAATCTGTAACCAAATTCCACGGTGGATGTAGTCTCCTGAATTTCCTAAGTGTTATAAATCTGACCTAATTCCTGCTACTACTACCTACCCCCAAATCCTCCTTTTCTTCTACCTACATTACTAGTGAACCCTACTCCCTGAGTAGCCTCTCTGACAGCAGACTCTCCCTAACTGCACTTTATTCCCAGACTACGGCAGAAAGAAGCATCTCACTGCACTCTGCTTAGAAATCCCTGCTGCCCAGAAGACATGACCACAGGTTTCCTAGAAACACACGAGGGTGTTCACAGGGCACACACAGCTCAATCTCCTGCCAATGCACTGCCACTGCAGGGACCACCCGCTCACAACATCCCTTACAATTCGTTCTTGTTACACTTTCTCCTAGATGGTGTGAAGGTGACTATTAAAATTAACTTTGCTTGACCTGAAAGTAAAGTTTCCATATTCTCAGAAGTTTCTGAGATATAGCCGCCTTAAAATGTGGCCCTTCCTTATTTGCTCTATCATCAGAGCTTTAAAATCCAAAATACAACTACAGGGTGGCAAATGACAAACACTCTCTGCAGCTGCCTCGGCAAGGAGAGGAAGTAGAGCTGAACAGCAAACTGCTGTCAGCATGGTATTCTGAGCCATTGTTTCATGCAGACGCGTCTTCTGTAATGGGAAATCAATTTCCGTAACTTCTGATTCAGAGATAGAGACTGTGTGGAGACCTGATTACACCAAGCCCTTGGACTTACTCCTGACTATAAACACAAGGATAAAGATATGACAGCTATTTTGTAAAATAAACAGTTTAAATCTTCAACAACCCTTCACTTACAGGCAATGACTAATGTGAGTAAAGGCGTGATTAAAGAAGTGAAGTCACTCAGTCGTGTCCGACTCTTTGTGACCGCATGGACTGTAGCCTACCAGGCTCCTCTCATGGAATTTTCCAGGCAAGAATACTGGACTGGGTTGCCATTTCCTTCTCCAGAGGATCTTTCCCACCCAGGGATCGAACCTGGGTCTCCCGCATTGTAGGCAGACACTTTACTGTCTGAGCCACCAAAGGCGTGATACAATGTATAAAAACACGACAAACCTTTTGATTTCTTTACATCAGGTTCAGGCTCAGATTCGCGGATGAACTGACCCAAGTCACTAACTCTTCCAAACGTCATCTTCCTAAATAAGTATGAAAAGAACACAATGTCTAACGATCCACTTGAAATTAAGAAAAGAAATTAAATTTAAGCATCTTATCTAATCTAGAAAACGAGAAATACGATTTTATACCTATCCATTTTACTCAGAGTGGGACTTATGTCAAAAACAATTGTCCCCCACAGAAAGTAAACTTTCTCTAACCTATTAATACCAAAACCCAGTTAATACCAATAACCATCAACGCCAAATAGTAACATAAGACACTGTGAAGTATTTAGCAACAGTTATGAGCTATAATTAACATTATTTATAGAATAGTAACAACACAGTTAAGATGAGGTAAATATGTGTAGACTAACATAGAAAAATCTCCAAACTCACTATGAATGAAAGCACAAGACAGAATGGAGTGTAATTTCAATCATATAAACATAAGCCAACAAAAATATACACCATAACGTAACAGTGATTATCCTGAGAAGGAAGGGGAGAAAACAGGCATTGATTTGTAATCAAAGGGCACAGTTGCCTTATTTGTAAATTTCATTTTTGGAAGAAGAGATCAATATATTTGTATTAGTTAAACTTAGTTAAAAAAAGAAAATCTTTTGATGCCTACATATTATTTCATCTCAGGTAAAGCAGATCTTATTCTAGAAATAGCCTTCCTAATAAGTCAGTTAATATGTGGGTGCCAATACACCAACTGCTACAGATTTGTTGGCCTTTAGAAAAATTTCAGGAAGATGCTAGAACCATTAAACTAAAACAAACACTAAAATCTATCTCTAAAGATAGAGGGAAAAAAAATCATTATTTCACTCACACTATACATGTATTTATTTTACAAATTTAAATTTTATAAATTAACATATATTTACTTAACATACAAGAAAACTATAGAAATAAAACATTTTGCAATTGACAGTCTTTCTTAAGGTCTGAAATAAATGAACCACTCATTACTTAAGAATAAATAGCAAAAAAAACCCAAAAAACAAACAAACAAGAATAAACAGCATCTTTGGGAATTAACTCATTTAGCCTTATTGTCTACCATTTCCTGAAAGAAGAAATAAAGATTACTACAACACTGACACAGCTGAAGACTGAGTAGCGAAAATAACCTTCTATTTACTTCAAAGTATTTTCTGGACTCCTTGGTCTCCCAACTATCACTTCACTTTCTGGTAAAAGCAAATAAGCATGTTGAAATCCCCTTTCATGCTACTGCCAGGACTGGGGTGGGGTAATCATGCATGCCTTTACACAGGTTTCTGTGTTTTCAAGCCATCTTCAGGGAAGAGGAAGTGATATTATGATTTGATCTGTGGTAAAGATCGAGAAGTGCTGTATCACTGCCTTTCTGTTTCAGAATAAAATAAACAACCAAGTTAACTCCAAAATACAAAGGAATCATTCTATTCTGTTTCCCCAAATACAGCTGGTTCCCCATATCTAAAGGCTCCAGATCTACAGACTCAATCAACGACCGATTGAAAATATTCAGAGAAAAAAAAAATCTAGAAAGTTTCAAACAGCAAAACTTGAATTTGCTGTGCACTGGCAACTATTTACATAGCATTTACATTGTATTTACAATTACTTACAAAGCACTGACATTCTGTTAGGTGTTATAAGTAATCAAGAGATGATTTATATGGGTTTAAAATACCAGGTCACTTCATACAAGGCACTCGAGCATCCTCAGATTCTGGTATCTGAAGGGGTCCTGCAATCCCCTGCAGTTACTGACAGCTAACGGTTCTAGTTATATAGTCCATGATAAATGCTATCAGCGTCTTTGTAGTTTAAAACAGAGACTTCAAAATAGCTAACATATGAATCAAATGAAACGTGGACAAGACAGCCTAGCACACATTATGTAAACATGACATGCATCAGTGTCATATACAGTGGTGGAAATGAGGATGGCAATGGAATCCACTGAGTGCTCACTGCTATCAGGCAACGTTTTCAATGCTTTTCATGTACTATCTCATTTAATCCCCTTCACCAACCCAACGAAGCAGGACTCATTCTCGTTTCACGGATGAAAAACTGGAGAGCATTAGGCAGCTTGCCATCAGCAGTTGAGCCAAGATTAAACCCAGTAAGTCACTCCTGAGCCTTCACCCTCAACCGCACTACATGTAAAAGGGAAGGGCATAGATGAGACAGTGGAAACAATTTTTACATTTTAAATTAAAATATTTTCTTTTAAAAAGATGCTTACCCTGCATATGTCCGTTGATACAAAGATTCTGGATCCAGACTTGCAGCGTCCACAATTATCGCTTCATCAAAATTTTTCAGAATCTTAACACTGGCTTTTTTCATACTGGACTATAACAGAAATTGTGAAATTAGTGTATGTTATTCAGGAGTCAAGCCAGTCCTGGGTTTGGAACGATAGATCCATACAAAATCTTCAGTGTTTAAAACACACACGTTCCACTCAACCCTGTCATGAATGAGATGCTTAAGAGCAAGAATCCTGAGACTCAAACGTAAGTGCAGGAGGGATGCACAATACCGACACATATGACATGTGCATCCATATGCCACACGTGCTTTCCCTAAGAAATCGAGTTCTAACAACTGAGCTTATGTTCCCAACTGTGTAAAACTCCCTTCTTCCATGCACATGTATCTTGGCTGATAAATGTAAAGCCTGACTCTCACAGTATCAACATGAATGCTTTTGATTCTTAGTGTGGCCATGTGACAAAACAGAAGATGGAAGAAACTTGCTAAAATGAATAGTATTTTACCTCCCACTCCTCATGCCCACAAAGAAAGCAAGTCAGAACTGGTACCTCTATGAAATAGAGGCATGGGTTGACCCAGTGACTCCACTTCTAAAATTCAATCATAAATAGATTTATACAAAATGACTTATACACAAGATTATTTGTTGCAGCATTGTTTAAAGTAACGACAGGAATACCTTTATATATATAAAAGTAACGGACCAGACACTTAGAGAACACTCTACAGCAAAGATGCTCACTGTCACCACTTCTGTTCAACACTATACTGCAATTTCTAGCCACAGCAGTTAGGCAAGAAAAGGAACAAAAGACATCCAAAGTTGATAAGAAAGAAAACTATTTCTATTTGCAGATGACATGATTTAAGATATAGAAAACCCTAAAGAATCCACAGACTTAGAGCTAACAAATGAATTCAGTAAAGTTGAAGGTACAAGATAAACACACAAAACCCGTAACATTTCTACACATTCAGTGAAGAATCAGAAAAATAAATTAAGGAAACAATTTCTGTTTATAATAGCATCAAAGATAATAAACTACTTAGGAATAACCCGACTCAAGGAGGTGTAAAAACTACGAAACACTGCTGAAAGAAATAAAAGATGGCATAAATAAATGGAATGGTATTCCATGTTCATGGACTTGTAAGACTCAATACTGTGAAGATGGCAACACTTTCTAAAGGAACCTTCAGATTCAAGTAATTCTGAACCAAAATGTTAAAGCTGATCCTGAAATTCACATGAAACTACAAAGAACCAGAACATCCAAATCAATCTTGCAAATGAAAAAAATGCAAAGACAGAGGACACACACACACAGTTCCTGATTTCAAAGCTTTCAAAACCTATAAACTATAGTATCACAACAACACAGCACAGTCTACGTACAGACACAGATGATGGAGTTGAGCCCAGAGTCCGGAAGTAAACCCATATTTTTGTTGTTTGTTTTTCAGTCATGTGCCTAAGGTCGAATGATTTTCAACAAGGGTGTCAGGACCATTCAATGGTGAAAGAGGAGTTTTTTTAATAAACAGTGCTGGGACAACTAGATATTCACATTCAAAAGAAAGAAGTTGAATCCTACTTCACATAATGTATAAAACTCACTCAAAATGGATCAAAGGCCCAAAACTCTCAGAAGAAAACAGGTGGGCATGAGGGGTGACCATTTACTGGACACGAGGTTTCCACCTGATATGATGAGCAAGTTGGGGTGATGGCAACACAAGACTGCAGATACACTGATGTCACAGAACCGTATACTTTATAATGGTTAAATTCATGTTAAATGAGTTTTTCCTCAATAAAAAAATTTCATTTCTAAACACAATGAACAAGCTGAACATGAGATTGAGAAAACAATTACATATATAAAAGCATTAAGAAAGATAAAACATTAGAAATAAATTTAAGACAAGAAATACAGAACTATATTTGAAAACAACAAAATATAAGATGGCAATCCTCACCAAATTGATCTGTGGAGTTTAAGTCCTCCTTTCCTATCAGAATCCTGACTAGCTTCTTCATAAACATTGACAAGCTGATCCTAAAATTCATATGGAATTGCAAGAGACCTTAAACCATCAAAACAGTCTTGAGAAAGAAGAACTAAGTTGGAGGACTCTCATTTCCCGATTTTAAAACTTATTACAAAGGAACAGTAATCAAGACTGAGTTAGTCATCATTTGACCCAGCCATCCTACTCCTAGGTATGTACACCAGAGAAATGAAAATATACATCCACACAAAAACTGTACAGCAGCGTGACTTCTAACAGCCAAAAACAATAATCCCGACATCCACGAGCTGAGGAGTCAACAAAATGTGGTGTGTCTATACGATGGAGTGTCATTTGGCCATAGAAGAACAAGGTTCTAATACATGCTAAAAACACGGATGAACCTTGAAAAAAGAAGCCAGTCACAAGGACAACATATCACAAGGTTCCACTTATATGAGATGTCTGGAACAGGCAAATCTATAGAGACAGAAAGTCAACTAGCAGCCACCTAGGGCTGGAGGAATGAGGACTTGGAGGGTGAGAGTTAAAGGGTAAAGGCCGCCTTTCTTGGGTGAAAAAAATTTTCTATAACTGACTGTGGTGAGTTAAGCAACTCTATAAATAAACTACAAAACCACTGAATTATACAGTGTAAATGGATAAACTGTACGGTATGTGAAGTATATCTCAATAAGGTTGTACAAAAAAAAAAGGAAAGAAAAGAGGAGGATAGTGACAGGAAGGGGACAACAGTGTCTGACAACCTGGTAAGGTGTTCTCTTTCTTGATCTAGATGCTGGTCACATGGGTTAGGTTTGCTTATCTAAATTCTTCGAGCTGTACATGATTATGAAATGTAGACTTTCCTGTAACGTATTATTATACTTCAACCAAAAATGTAAAAATACTTTTTACGGTTAGCACCTAGGCCTTTGTGTCTAAACAAAAACGGCATTCTACTGGGTTGGCCAAAAAGTTAATTCAGGTTTGTCAATCATCCGAAAGATTTTGGTTAGAATATCTAGTAAGTAGGCTGATTTTATCTCTCCTTGTTTCTTCTACAACCTAAAGCTTATAAACGGGGTCTGATGCTAGGATCTGAGTGAAAGGATCCTCCTAATGGCTGGGCACACGAGTCACTACCTGAGAGGTGGAGCTGTCGGCTGCTCCAGGGTGGGAGTCGTCAGGGGGACCCATAGAGCCTGGAGCCATCAGCGAGACACTCCCTCCCAGGAACTCGTCTCCGCGAACTGAGTGGATGAGATCGTTCAAGTATTTATAATACAGATTGCTGGACAAAAAGCCAGGCAAAAAGACCTGAAAAAGAAGACACCTTATTAAAGCTACCAGTCACCACGCCTGATCTTACATCTTGTTGTACTCTGTTATCCCTTTGTACACAGTTTACACTGTATCTAAAACTACAACATGGAAAAAAAAAAAAACTACATGTACGATTTATAGCTGCTCTCCCCCGCCCCCAAAAACTCGCCATGAAACTACTGAATATGGACGTCTTAGTGACCAGGGAGCGAATGTAGTTTGAAACTAGATTTTTCTGGTTTGTTATAAATACTTAAGTCTTCGTGTGTATGTTGATTTTGACTTCTGGACTGATTTATTTAAGATAAATTACCAGGAGTGTGACTACTGAGTTCAACATGTGAAAACTTCAGCTTTGATAAATCCTAAGGATAATCACTAGCAGTATTATCAAGGCATCTATTCTGACAGAGGCTTTCCAAAACTGGCTTCTGTTTTTTCAAATCACCGTTAAATAAACATCTAATGTACACAGATGCTTTCATTTGCATTTAAAATTATTAATGATCCTAAGCTCCCATCATTATTACTGGCATTTCCTATTTTCAACTTTTCCTTTACAGTATTCAACACAACTGTAAATATTGATGTCTGTGTTTAACATACGCCTTCCTCCTAGACAGAGCTGCAGGAGGGCAGAAACCATGTTTTTTCTTGTTTACCCCGTAACAACATCCAGCACAGAAATACTCGAAGTATTAGTGAAGGAGGCACACATTCTTCTCCCCATTTACCTACTTGATAGTACTGTACTCTGATATTCTGTTTTTCTCTTTTATTACCCAGAAAGTTTACATTCTCTATGTGATACAGATTTTGAACTTTCCCCTCTAAGATTAGACAATGTTTATTTTAATCATGAAAAAATGATCAGCCCTGGACAAGAGCTAACAGTCTATCCAGCTTCCCAGCAGCTCCCTGATGATCTGATTTTTGTATGTAACCTGCCACACTCCTGACACTCAGGTTTGAGGGGTGGTCATGCAGCAGTGTAATTAATCCCTTTCCACCTGATGCACAAGCCATACGTGAGAGAAACGACCTCACGGGTTTATCCTAGGCTCTGTGCCATTCCCAGGAAAAACTGCTCTAGTTCATCAGAGAGTAACTGAGGCACAATTCCAACTCTTTATCAATAATAAGCAGCTATTAGCACTTACCCTGTAAGTGATAATGATACAAAAAACTAGCGTTCCAACCCTGTTGGAGGGTTTGGTGAAAAATTTGGATCATCCCTAAGCTAACTTTGCTTAGTACTATCAGTTATCTAAAAGCTGTAATAACAGCAATTAACATTCTTTAATGCTCATGATGTGTCAGGGGTTATGTTACTAGTAAGCAATCTACACATCTTACCTCACTTTCATCCTCAAAACAATTCTGAGGTTAAGTACCTATATGAGCCCCACCTCAGAGACGAGGAAAATGGCATTAAAGGACTTCGGGAGCTGCCTGGGTCCCTCGGCCTACAGGGTTGAGATTAATACACACCAAGCCAGACGCAAAGCCTTTGCTCTTAATCACCATTGTTTCAGTTGTCCACTGTTGTGTTTGCTTTTCTCCACATTTCATTTTCTGACTTCCACCAGGAAAAACTTCCTATAGTTTAACACTTCTGGGGTAATGGGGTTTTAGTTACCTTCTCCATGGTCGTCCAGGCCTGACGTAACGGAGTGGTGAAACAGTTAGGGAGTGGCCCACCTTCCCGGCAGATGTTGGATTCAATTTCCAGTCGCACAACATCGTCAAATCCAAGAGGGTGTGTGGCCTGGAGGGAGAAGTACCTACAGCAGAAAGACGGCCAAAGTCAACCCGTATCCCAGCAATCACAGCACCTTCTGGCACTGACACCAGAGACCGTCCTGAGGCTCATGCAGACCTAGGCTTACAGAGCTGGGTGGAGGGCAGCCCTGCAGCGGCCTTTCAGCTCCTGTTCATGATACAAATTCAGAAAGGCTAATGAGATAGGATATTAGGGAAAAAAAAAGATAGAAAAGCGGAAGAGTAGGAATGGGTAAAGTCAAATTTGGCACAATGAGCTTGATAAAACAACAGTGCTGGTGGGCGTCTTCATTTAAAGACGGCTCCCAGTTTGAAAATGGGATCCAGTGGGAAGACGGCATCTCTGCTATGGGTGGCACTGAGCTCCTGCCAGGTCCTCACTGCTGCCACACTTCTGTTCCAGCACAGAAAACCCCTTTTTCTTGTTATCAGTATTTTCTTAACAAAAAGTGAGCTTCCTCCCACCTTGCAACAAATAAGTTGGCAAATATTTCTCCATGCTTTGAACTGTGGGGCAACACAGACCAAAAAAAAATTTTTTTTGGCCACATTATGTGGTTTGTGGGATCTTAGTTCTTAGACCTGGGCTTGAACCCAGGCCCTAGATTCAATCCCTGAAATTGCAGAATTCTAACCACTGGATCACCAGGGAACTCCCCCGAATTTCTAAATGTACATGCCTGCCATCTTAATGTCCATATAACACTGTTTCTTGTACAGTATTTTCCCACAAATATATTACACTAAAATAAACACTGGACAAACATTAGAACCACATCCAAGTCCTGCCGCAAATCTGCCCCGTGACTTTGAGAAATTCACCACCCGTGTGGGCCCTTGGTGTTCTCATCAGCACATTGGGAAAATCAGACCAGACCCTCACCTGGCTATTCATCAGCATCACCAGATGTCTTTACAGAGAAAGATTCCTGGGCCACACCTCAAACCCGCCGAGTCAGATCTCTTTCACAAGAGGGCAGGAAAGCTATTTTTGACAGGTTTCTAGGTGACACTTGCACTGACAGGAGCACGAGCACACCCGGCAAGCTCGGAAACCCCTGACCCGGATGCTCTCAGCTCTCTGCCAACTCTAAGATCCCATGGATTGTTTTTTTATCCTCAAGCTTTCTTCTTAGCAAGTGCTTATGGATACAACACCACACTGCTTTTCTTCACAGAAGGGAGAAAAGTTGGATGAAAAGGAGCGGACAGTTTCCAGTTCCATTCCCTGTCAGACTGCGCTGCCATCTCATATTCAGGGAAAGCTAATGAAAAACTGCTCTCTGCTGAGCAGTCAGTCTGGCTCAGAAGTCACTGAGCCCTCTGCAATATATTCCCATTGGTTTCACCTTCTTTCACGTCCCAACCCAAGTTTTCAATCACCCAAAGCCTCCAATGAGCCTGCTCATGCTGGTGCCTCCTCCAAGAACATTCTTTCCCACCTTCTTTGGCAACAGAATCCAATTCACTCTTCGGGATGCACTCAAATCTTCCTTCTGTGAAGCCCTCAGTGACCTCCACCATCATTGACCTGCATTTCCCCCACACACACCCCTTTCCCACCAACTTGTGTTCTAAGAACCCCTACTTTGCACACACCAGTAAGCAGCAGCTCCTCCGCAGCTCCCTGCAAGCTCCCTGATGGCAAAGACCCAGGTGACCCACCTTTACTACCCAGGAGCACATCAAATGCTCATTATCTGCTAAGTGCCGAAGTCCTCTACCAACCAGACTCACTTGTCATATAAGATCATGGCGTCGTTCTGTGCCTCCTGTCCGTCGTACTGCCCTTTTTTGGCAGCGAGCTGAGACTGGAAGTTGTCTGCTGCCAACCAGAACTGTAGGATATTCACTGCGTCCTCTTTCTCCATGTACTGGGAAATAAACATACAAAAGAGGAAAATCAGACTGAAAATCTGTAAAGAGATTACTGTCACCATCTCTCATCTGTATATAAGCACCAATTATTAAAATACAGGACATCAAGAGAAGAAACCCCCACAAAACCACCCACTGCCCAAAGAGATACACTTGCTCAGTTAATGCCAGTCAGCAACTTACAGTCATATGAGATGGAAAAAATATTAAAATACTGCTTGAGGGGGAAAAAAAACAAACCAAACCAACAAACAAAAAACCCCCCAAACGAAACAAACAACTCGAACAACAACCAGAAACCCTACCACCACACAGCTGAATGTAAACTTCAGTGAACTGGAGTTAAAATTAAAGGTGGATTAGTGGTTCCTTGCTGCCAAGCATACAAAGAATAAACCAACTGGACCCAACCTTGAACACCTGACTGTCTCCACCATTCCATGAGGCCACAGCAACCTGAACAAATGCTCAACTAAATTAAAGGCAAAGAGAGGGGCTGAGAACTCGAATCAGCTAAGTAATTGTACTCTGGTGAGGAGGTAGGATGCAGGTGTGGGTCTAAGTGACCACTCTGTGAGACGAGGAACCCTCTACCCCGACTTCAAAGTCACTTGCTTTGCAACAATTTCATTAGCTGAAGCCTAACACACCCCACCACACTAAATTGCATGCCTCAAGGAGATGAGTTTACTCACTGCTCCTTGCAAATACTTCACTGGGTAATCCTATCACATGGCTAAAGTCAAATGATGACAGCAGGAAAAAATTCACTACTTTCTCAAGTCTGGTCTGCAAACATTTATGCATTGAAATCAAGTATCAAATTCCGTGGTTTTAAAACAGCTCTAAATAGTTAAAAATCTGCATTTTCTTATAAGCAGTTTAATTAGGTTTTTCAAAATTATAGTTATTTTACACTGAATTTTCAAGTTCTCTTTAATGCCATTCAAGTACTCTTGCCATTAGATACAACACAGTAATCGAGGTATTTAAACCCAATTGATGTGTTCAGAAATGACTTGTCTCCTCTATGTTATTTTCCACAGGCAGGGCCCCAGCATTTACAGCTTAGAGACCGGACTCTAACAGAGTGTGAAAGGAAATGCAGAATTTACCTCTGAGAAATAAAAGAGGGCTGACTCACAGAAGAGAATATCAGCCAGGTAAACAGTTCCACTGGTCAGCACTTCAATCTGGTATTTACAGAAATGGTGACTTCGTAGAAACTCACTAAAGTGCCTGCATGTGGACAAAAAGGCAAAATTTGAGGGACCGACCGAGGAAAGAGCTCCGCTGGGAAGCACACACTCTTTCCACGCTGTGCCCGCCGTGCCTCACAGCCTGGGTCAGCACGCCCTCCCTTCCCACGGGGTCTCCCTGACTCCTCTCCCTGCAGCACCCTCTCCCCTCTCTTACTGGCTTGCAGCTCCCCTCTGGCATCTAACACATGCTACCTCCTACTGCAGTAACCAAGCAACATGCCCTATTACTCTCAGGCTGTAATCTCCTTCAGCAGGTACTATAGCTAACCGTGCACAGCACCCTTTCCATAAATGCTAAATGAAAGAATGAAAACAGAGACTTTTTTTTTTGAGGGCATGTGGATTTAGTGCTATGGCATCCATTAAGCTTAGAGCATGTACTAACAATCAGGATATCCACCTGAAGACACGTGTTGTTTAAGCAGATAAACTATATCACACTACAGTCACAATCACCCCCAGTGACTTTCAGAATTAAAAACAAATTCTTTTAACTTAAGAAATATCAACATTAAAAATACAAATCTGTTTTACTTTTACTAGGATTCACATAATTTGTATTTAAAAGAAACCACTGCCCAAGATAGTCTGAGAGGATGCCTATAAGATCCTGTAAACATTCAAAGTATTTAAACCCTCAAACATAACTTGGTTTTTTCCTGAGACTGAACCGGAATTCCCAAGAACACAGAAAGTGGGAGTGTGAAACCGACGTACTCGTGCTCCATTGCACTGAAGACTATGGACTGTGCAGAAACGAAACAGTTGGGGTCCACCTGCCCGTCTTCTCCACAAATCTTTGCTGTAAAAGAAATGGTAAATAACTTTTTCTCTAAATCCAAACTATACACATCTGCAAATCAAAGCAGGGAATAACTGCAAAGGCATAAAGATTAGCAGGTTTTAATGCAATTAAAAGAAAATACAGGTAAATAACTGATCATTAGGTAGGGAAGGTCTTTCTTAGCATACATGCAAAAGCAGAAATCAAAAGATTCAATAATTAATTTCTATAAATTAAAACACTCTCAAAACAAAAGGGCAGACTGAGGGAAAAGATTTGCAGCATATATGACTGTTTAAGAATGATAGATTATTTTCATTCATGTATCAAGAGCTCTTACAAAGTAACAAGAAAGTCTCAAAAGAAAAATGAACAAAGGACAGGAAAAGAAAATTCACTGAAGGACAAATATAAAATGGCCAATTTAAAAACATACGCATACTCATTAGTAACCAAGGAAATATAATAATGAATTACAATAATGAGGCACATCACCTTTTGTCTAGTAAATTGACACAAAATTGTTTTAACAATCCATATGCTTAATTGTTTAATGATACACACACTTAAGCATGGGCATGGGAAAACTGACCCTTGTGTTAGTGGGCATATAAACTGGTATTTGTTTCTGTATTTGTTTCAGAAACTGTATTTGTTTCTGGAGGGCAATCTGACAATCTCTACAACAAGCTTTAAAAATGAACATAGCCCCATCCCTCAAAATATGAACATACCCTTTCAATCAGCAATTCTGTTTCTAGGATGGTAACCTAAGGAACTATAGATATATGAAAAAGAGTTTATCTCTTTATCAAAAGCTCTCTCCTTTTCTGAAATACCCCAGACAGGTTAGTTATCAATTGGTACAAACACCTAAAGGAACTGCTAGCGAACGATTTCCCACATAGGCACATTCTAATCTGTTCAGACACCTAACAGTTGTTATCATTAGGCACAGGTGGTCTTGGGAAGTCTAGAAGATGGTAGCAACAAATTTTCACGTAGAAAGAGAGGAACGACATAGAAAACCCAAAATTGCACGATGACACTTGGAATGAAACTGGTTGAAAATTCCAAAATACAAGCAGATGGGGACAAGCCACCAACAGCCACAAGGCCCATGCGTTACAGGTGTCTGTGTGGGAGAGGAAAATGGAAACACATGGGCAGCAGCTGTCGGCCTGACAGACAGAAGGTGTGCACCGTGAGTGTGGCGACCGACTGAAGCTTAGCTGAGCCTGGGGAGGGGATATGCTGTCCCCAAATAATGAGTAAAGACCCAAAGAGCCCCACGCTGGGAAGAACCTGCTAGGAGAGGAATAACAGGCTATACTTCATAAATCAAAACACTTAATTTTTGTAATCAAAAACTCAAAACTGAGTACTGGGACTTGACAGGAATATAATAAATATCTGTTCAGTGTATAATGAACCACTTTTATCTGTGACTATAGGCATACTTGAAGTCTTTCTAATACAACACAGTAAAAGCTTTCAAACATTTAAAAAATTACGACCAACAGAAAAATTTATATACCTATGCATGATGGAAAAAAGAAACAATTTTCAGAAGTACTGTCTGTTCGCCCTTACTACTGTGAAGCACTTTGATTTTTCTAGTCTTTTTTTGGAAGGTGGTGAGGACCTAAGAGGAGACTGGTCCTAATCTGTAGCCTGAAAAGCACTGCCCAATAGCCTACCAGGTAGGGTCTGGTTTCAAAGCCTAACTCTGCCATGTCTGAGCGTTATCGAGGGCAAATGTTATAGACAGCAGGTGTGCACTGGGAGCTGTTACCTTCTCTGTGCTTCTTCACTTATAAAATAATAACTGTATTTATGCTAAAAGGTTCTTTAGAAGATTAAATGAGCTTGTCCAGGGGAAGTGCTTAGAATATTGTCTGGGACACAGTAAGTACTCAGTAAACATGTGCTACTATTTTTCAAATCAAAAATTAATAATAATGAATAAGAGGGAAACTTTTTAAGTGAGCGACAGTCAGATATAATAAAGTACACTGAAAACAGACATGGAAGGGAGATGCTGAATTTCATATTCATGAAGAATTCTCTTAATAACCAAAAAGAGCCCTTTTTTTTTGGCCATAGCTTCAAGCACTGCTTACCTATGATGTCATTTCTCATTGCTTCTGTAATTGGTATCGGTTTAGCAGCATCTGGAGATATGTATTTGGTAAAAGTATTCACTGCATCTTGCTCTATACCTGCAAGGGAAGACAGAGACAATTTCAAAACCAAAAAAGCAACTTGTACCAGTAACAGAGCATATTCATCAACAGCAGGGCTTTGCTGTGCACCCAACCACACACAAAAATACACAAATAGTTTATTACAAATAAATATATCTGTAAATAAACTTAGGACAAAACAAGTCTCTATCACAAAGTTGCTTTTACACCCTTTGGCTGGGGGAGCAGAGGAGTTACGAGGAAGCCCCCTGCCCTCCCCACAGCTAACAAGTTCACGAGAAACCCCAAGTGCTTATTCTCACACACCCTCTTTCCATATCTCCTCTCCAAAGTCGGAACCTGAAGAATTTACACAGCGGGGGCTCAAGTTATTTACAAATCCATGTTGAAAATATTTTACCAAATTTCACATTCACGAATACATCCATCTGACCTTCAACAACCCCAGAAGGTTAAAATAGTGAATCTCAAACTTTCTGTCTTGGGACTTTGCAATCTTAAAAATTACTGACCTTCCATTTATCTGAGTTTTACCTATAGAGAGTAATGTATTGAAAATTAAGATGAGAAAAAATTATCCAGTTTAAACGAATAATATTAAATCTGCTAAAAGTTAACATAAACACCATTTTTTTAAAATAGAAAATAACTATTTCCCAAACTGAAAAAATTAATAAAAGGGTGCCATTTTACTTTTTGCAACTCTATTTTTCTTGATAGCAAACTGTTAAGATTCTCAAATCTGCTTTGGCATTCACTCTGTTGTGCTTTTTTATTTGAGTCAAATCTATATAGTGCTATCAGGATATGAGAAGAAATGTATGTATATTATATGTGTGTGTGTATATATATACATATATAGCATGCGTGTGTATGTTGTGTTAGTTACACAGTCACGTCCGACTCTCTATGACCCTATGGACTGTAGCCTGCCAGGCTCCTTTGTCCACGGGATTCTCCAGGCAAGAATAGTGGAGTGGGTTGCTACTTCTTTCTTCAGGGGATCATCCCAATCCAGGGTCTCCTGCATTGTAGGCAGATGCTTTATCATCCGAGCCACAAGGGAAGCCTATGTGTATATGTGTGTGTATGTACAGTTTTTGCCCTGGTTCCTGGCACAGAGTTCCCCTAAAACCCTTGCAGCTTCCTGAGTTACAGTAGGGGCCAGAGGAGCATCATTTGTTAATCACAATAAAGCTCTTTCAACCACAGAAAAAGTTTATGGAAACAAAGTGACTTGTGCAGAGAGGGGGCTGGTTGCCAGAGAAGGAACCAGAACTCCAGCCCCACTCCCCAACCTCCAGGGAGGGTGGAGTGGGTTGTGGACCATCAAGCCAATCACCAACAGCCAATGATTTAATCAATCATGCTATGATGAGACCATAAAAACCCTAAATGAAGCAGCTCAGAGAGCTTGTGGGTTCATGAATGTTTCCATGTGCCAGAGAGGAGATTGCCCCAACCCCACAGAGACAGAAGCTCCTGCACTTGAGATCCTTCTGGACCTCGCCCCATGGACCTCTTCATCTGGAAGCTCATTTCTCTCCTTTATAATACCCTTTTACATCACTAAACATATATAACGTGTTTCCCTAAGTTCTTTGAGCCTTGACAGCAAATTACCAAAAGAGGAAGAGGTAGTAGGAATCTGACGTACAGGTGACAACCTGGGGCCGGTGACTGGCATCTGAAGTGGGGGACACTGCTGTGGAACTGAGCCTTTAACCTGCAGGGTCGGCACTAACTCCAGGTAGTGTGAAAATGAACACTAGGTTACAATCCAATGAGAATGGAGAACTGCTTGATTTTGGACAGACATTGCTTTGCTGTGAACAGAGAAATGGTTTTCTTTATATCAAGACTATCTGGCCTCAGAGCTGTGAACAGGAGTATTTTAATAGCTGTCTGAAGTAACTGTGGTTATATTCTTCTTTGATCCTCCTCCTTGTGCGTACTCAGTCATGACCCCATGGACTGTGGCCCACCAGGCTCTTCTGTCCATGGGATCTCCCAGGCAAGAATACTGGGTGGGTTGCCATTTCCTCCTTCAGGGGATCTTCTGGACTCAGGGATTGAACCCGCGTCTCCTGTATTGGCAGGCAGATTCTTTACCATTGCGCCACCTGGGAAGCATTCTTCTTTGGTACTATACCCAAAACTTGAAAAGTGGTAGTTTCTTAAAAGTTAATCAGAATGTAGAATCAAAAATCATATTAATAAAGTAGTTATATTCTGTTACATTAGAATCTACTGGTCTATGTACCATGTTTAAAGAAATCACATCATTAATATCACAATGATCTTTTCAGAACACTCTTTAAAGCTGTCAAAGCATGTGGCAGTGAATGGAAGTTTTCCAAATTCTAAGTTTCACTTGAAAACTTACATTTTATCACTGGGCAACAACACTGCCAGCTGTTTTCCATGAAATGACAACTCATTTTACATGGCCAGAATTACTGATACCAAAACTGGACAAAAGCAGTATAAGAAGACTACAGACCACTTTCTGTCATAAACCCAGGTGCAAAAATGCTCGACAAAATATTAGAAAATCAAGTCCAGCAGCATAAACAGACTAATACACACAAGCAAATGAGGCTTACTCTGGGAATGCAAGCTCATTATTTTTTTTTTTGTAATCAATATAATCCCTCAGACAAAAGAAGGAAAACCACATGGTCATGTTAAATGACACAGAAAAAACATTTGAGAAAACTCAACACCATTCTTGATTTAGACAATTATCAGTAAACTTTTAAACAACTCTTAGTAAACTTTTAAGAGAAGGGAGCTTCATCAACCTGATACAGGGCATTTACAAAAACCCATAGCTAACCTCACACTTTACGTTGAAAGCCTGAATGCTTTCTAAAACCAGGGAGAAGACAAGAATCTCAGGCAATCTACACAAAAGCTCCTAGAAATAACGAGTAAATTGAGGCCACAGAAGGTCAACATATAAAAGTCAATCATATTTCTATATACTAGCAATAAAAAAACTAGAAACAAAAGCTTTTTAAACACACTATTTGCAATAGTACCAGAAAAGGGGGAATAACAGAACATTAAGGATCTGTATGCTGAAAACCATACAATGTGAAAGAGAGCAATCAAAGAGGTAGGTAAATGGAGCAGATTACATCTGCGAGTTTTAAGACTCAATACAGTTAAGAACATAAATTCTCTCCAAACTGACCCATAGGTTGAATGCAATTCCAATAAAAATCTCAGCAGGTGTAAAGTTAAGTAGTTCATTTGATGTTTTTCTTGAGGTAGGCTTGTATTGCTATAAACCTCCCTCTTAGCACTGCTTTTATTGAATCCCATAGGTTTTGGGTTGTCGTGTTTTCATTTTCATTTGTTTCTATGCATATTTTGATTTCCTTTTTTATTTCTTCTGTGATCTGCTGGTTATTCATAAGCGTGCTGTTTAGTCTCCATATGTTTGTGTTTTTTATAGTTTTTTCCCTGTAGTTGACATCTAATCTTACCACACTGTGAGTGAAAGAGAAACACCAATACAGTATATTAATGCATATATATGGAATTTAGAAAGATGGTAATGATGATCCTATATGCAAGGCAGCAAAAGAGACACAGATGTAAGGAACAGACTTTTGGACTATGTGGGAGAAGGCAAGGGTGGGATGCTATGAGAGAATAGCATTGAAACATGTATATCACCATATGTAAAACAGATGACCAGTCCAAGTTCGACGCATGAAGCAGAGCACTCAAAGCCAGTGCTCTGGGACAACCCAGAGGGATGGAGTGGGGAGTGGGGAGCGGGGTGGGGGTGGGGGTTCAGGACAGGGGAACATATGTGCACCCACGGCTGATTCATGTCAATGTATGGCCAAAACCACAGTATTGTAATATTCCTCCAGTTAATTTATTACTTAAAAAAAATCTCAGCAGGGTTTCTTGTAGATATAGACAAGCTTATTCTAAAATTTATATTAAAAAAATAAGAACCTAGAACAGAAAAAACAACTTTGAAAAAGAACAAACTTGGAGGACTCAAACTATCCAATTTTAAGACTCACTACAAAGCTACACCACTTTAATTCCCCAGCAGCATGTGAGACAGCCATGTTCATGATGCTATTCATATCAGCTATGAGCTATAATAAGCTTATACCCTTTCAGGTCAACTTCTGTTCATTCAAAAAATAACCTGTGATAAGCAAAGCTTTCTGGATTTCTCGACTGCAGATAAGTAACTGCGGACTGTAGGAGCCAGTCCCAATCAAGATGGGCAAAAGCACAAGAGAGACAGGTCATTTACCTGAGAAAGCCCCCCACCCCCATAAGACAGGAGGCTTACACTTTCAAGGGCAGCTGCTGGGAGAAGGCCCTAAGAGGGCAGGGCCTGAAAAATACACACACACACACACACACGAGAGGGCATGCGCACACATGCACGCGCACACGCACACACACACACACACACACGGAAGGCCCTAAGAGGACAGACACACACACACACACACACACACACACACACACACACGGCCCCAAGAGGGGGCGCGCGCGCACACACGCAGGCACGCACGCGCGCGCGCACACACACACACACACACAGCCCTAAGAGTGCGGGACACACACACAAGCACACCCCCAAGACAGAAGCTTAGTTTTCTGTGGTACCAGGGTAGCAATGAAGCGGGTCCTGGATGCCTGGCAAAAGCAAATGCAAAGATACTCACAAAGAACCCAATTTAATCAGAGTTCCTGAAGAATTACCAAAGATAAAATTCAAAGACATATGTATTCACAGCCAAAACCCACTAAAACCACAGCCTACCAGAAGTGTGAACCTGCAGAAACAAACCCTGAATCAGATACACAAAAGCTATAGGCACTGGGGTTATGAGATACTGAATACAGTGTTTAATAAATTTAAATAAATAAAAAATGGAGTCAAAAGTAAGACAGAGGGATAAAGGAATAAGAAACTAAAAAATGACCAGGCAAACCTGAAGAAAAATATTTCTAGAAATGAAAGAATTTACTAACTTTTAGATTAAAATAACATGTTAAAAGACTGATTTAATAGCAGTTTAGATCCATTTTAAGAATCAACGAACTAAAATATCTCAAGATGTCACCACCAAACTGAAAAAACTATATACTACACAATTCTAAGTATGTGACATTCCAGAAAACGCAAAACTATGGAGACAGGAAAAAGATTAGTGGTGGCCAGAGTGAAGTAAGTGGGTGTACAGAGATAAACTGGTAGAGCACAGAGGTTTTTAGGGCAGTGAAAATGCTCTGCCTGGTATCACAATGATGGTTACAAGTGGTTATACACTTCCCCAAACTCACAGAACATGTAACACCAGGCGTGAACATGAAAGTAAACTTTGGGTAATTGTGACTCCCTCAGGTAAGTTCACTGGTTGTAACAAGTGTTTCCCTCTGGTGGGGATGTTGATAATGGGGAAGGCGATGCATGTGCAGGGGCGAAGGGTGTATAGAAAACACCTGTACCTTCCCCTCAATTTTGCTATGAACCTTAAAAAAAAAAAAACTGCCTTCCTAATGTCTTAGTAGGAAAAAAATAAATAAAAAAGCACACAAGGAAAAATAAAAAAAGGAATGTTGACTTGGACCTTTGAAAAACAAAGAGAAGACAGAAGATGATGAGCATGGGTTGGAAGCTGTCTAATCAGAATTCCAAGAGGTGATAATTGAAAAATGAAGAGTGTGTAGCTTTCAAGCTAACAAGAGAAGAAAAAAGAAAGGAGGAGCTGCAGTCCAGACGCCAGAACTTCAAGCGCAAGTCCTGCCTGGTGTATGACCTGACAGGCTCCCCGACCTTCCCAAGCCACGACTTCCTCAGATGTAAAATGGGGTGACTGCCTACCTCACAGGGCTGCTGTGACTACTCCATGAAATTCAAATACAGCCCCTAAAACAGAACCTGATTAATGCTGCCTGCTGTCAATTAACAAATAACTTTGCCTGCAAAGTTCAGTAAAAGGGCAAGAAAACTAAGACTGAGGCTGCCATTAGCCTTTCTGGATAAGGATTTGATTTCAAAATCTGTGATGACCCTGGGCCCTTCTTCATTTGTTAATTATTTCTATTTCTCAGCGGGTTGGCTCTTCTGTTCTTTTTTCATACACAATCCTATTCTAAAACTCCCAAATTTGGGAGAAAATTACTCTAATCCTTTTAATCCCCATTCAAGTTCCACTTTGTAAGTAGATTTTTAAAAATATATATATATATTTATTTTTATTTATTTGGCTCCAACAGATCTTACTGTGGAATGTGGGATCTTTAGCTCCTCAACCAGGGATCAGACCCAGGCCTCCTGCATTTGGAGTCTGCAATCTTAGCCACTGGACCACCAAGGAAGCCCATAAATAGACAGTAAAAACAAACAAAAACAGGATCAAGAGACAACACCACACACTTACTTTTCATTAATTTTCCTGATAATTCCTTCAGTGGAGAAGATGGACTACTTCTACTGGCTACCATGAGCCTGGAGGACTCCTGGGTTTCCAGGGAGCCCCGATGAGTTCCTGTCCTGGCTGTCTCTAGGTGGAGAGAATGGGCACTGTCACTCTCCTGGGAAAGCAAGTGGTTCTGGGTGTTGCTAGTTCTATTATTCAAGTCAATTCCTTCCAGATGGGCTGAGCCAGAATCCTCCAACCTCCTGTTAAGAGACTCGGTTACAATAGCTGCTGTAGTTTCGGGCTTTTTAGATGGAGAGACAGGTTCAGCCAATGAGCTCTGCTTCACTGTGTTCAGACTGTGTGCTCTTATTCGGGACCAAGTTGTGGAGTGGAAACTTTCAGCCTCCAACCAAAACTTAACCAAATGCTCCATTCTCCGAAGTTCCATGAATTGAATGAAGTAAGGGAGGACCATGGTGTCATGCAAGACTTGCTCAAGGGTTTTTGAAAGACTTGATTTGGCCTCCTGAGTCTGGTAGTCCAGACAAGATCTGCCTAAAAGAAGAAAAGAGTTAGCAGTTCAATAACAGATAACAACCGCTGCTGCCGCTGCTGCTAAGTCACTTCAGTTGTGTCTGACTCTGTGCGACCCCATAGATGGCAGCCCACCAGGCTCTGCCATTCCTGGGATTCTCCAGGCGGAGTACTGGAGAGGGGTGCCACTGCCTTCTCCGAACAACCGCTAAAGCTTATTTAAATTATTAGAAGGGTCTTTGTTACTTAATTAATCCTCGAATCTCTTTTCATGGCAATTCAAATCATGTAAATTCTTAAGGGAAAAAAATCTTATGATACCAGTTCCAAAGGAAAAAAAGACCAATAAAAATATTTTAAAAGTTCAACCTCATTAAAAGTCTCAAAAAAGCAAATTAATACATACCATATTTGCCCATCAAACTGAAAGATGGGTTTAAAAAAAATAACAAGAACTAACAAGGGCACAGCAAAACAGATGATGAAAAATGTAAAATAACAAAACCTTTTTGGAGAAACAGACAGCAAAGCCTTAGCCATCAGGGTAATTTTTTTTTTTCAATCAGGGCAATTTTCAATCCAGTAACTCTATTTCTAGGACCTCATCCTGAGGAAAAATTGTGTATATAACTAGAAAGATGTTATGAACTCTTAGTCTCATTTATAACAGAATAGTTAGATTTGGGATTTTATCTTAAAAAATAAAACCAAACAATAAAACCAAAAGTTTATTTCACATTTAACTAAATTTAGGTTATGACTATAAACACAAGCTAATTATTAGAAGACAGAAAAAACTAAGAAAATACTTTCATAGCATGACACAGGGAGACTCATTTTTATAAAATTAACCGAGGGCCTCATCGGCTCTTCAAAAGGGCTTTTCTTCACCCTTGGTTGTTTCTTCTGAAGCACTTCATGTACCACCCCTGCAGTCCTGACTTCAGTGTTAACTAGTCCATTGTATCAACACTTCTTTAATGAACTTCAGGAAATCTCGAGCCTTTGTAAGACTTAACTTTAAGTACCCTTTACCCAGTCTTGGAGAAGGAAATGGCAACCCACTCCAGTATTCTTGCCTAGAGAATTCCATGGACAGAGAAGCCTGGCGGGCTGCAGTCCGTGGGGTCGCAAAGAGTTGGACATGACTGAGTGACTAACATGCACATACCCAGTCTCCCCTACGGTATCAGGATCACACTAAGACACTGACACAATCCATCCATCTTATCCAGACTTCCCCAGTTTCACCAGTACTCACTGTATGTGCATTTGGTTCTCTGTGTTTCTATCATGTGAGTAGACTTATATAAACATCAAGCCAGAGAACAGCTCCAGTGACACAAGGATCTCTCGTGAGGCCTTTTATAACCAGCCGCCATCCCTAACCATTGGCCAACACTCATCGATCTATTCTTCATGTCTATCATTTTGTCATTTCAAGAATGGAATAACACTTGTCTCTCAAAATAATTCCTCTGAGATTCATCCAAGCTGCTATGTGTAAACAGGAGTGGCTATTTCTCTGCATCTACATTAACATTCCAATTATCAAGCTTTAAATACTTGCTAATGTGTTGGGAGAACATAAATTCATTATTTTAATTCACATTGCACTGAGTATTAGTGCAGTGAGGCCTCCTTTTCACACATTCAGTGGTCAAATGTATTTCTTCTTCTGGAAATGGCCCATTATTCTACTGGGCATACTTTTTATATTTACAGAAGAACAACATGGAGCCATCCATTACACTAGCTGTTAGTCCAATTTAAACTTTTTTTTTCAAAGGCCCAGCCAATAACACGGGTCAGTATCCTCTGGCAGGAACTTCGCACTTTATACTCAAATCCTTCCTCCTAGAAGTTAACAGAAACTGAGAGTCACTCACCCAGGTCCCCAAAGTGAGCAGCCTCCATGTGGCTGGGCTGTTTCTTAAGTGTTGCAGTCCTGCTACTTGAAAAGGAGTCCATGTTGGCAGAAATGGCATTGATTGCAACGTGACTTGGTCCCGCCGCCTCCAGCAAGGCATGATTTTTAGTGCTTTTTTGTGGGGAATGTACGGATATTGAAGCTATAATTTTTCAAAAAATTGTTAAAAATTAAATACAATTTGATAGCCTAAAACTGTCTCCTAAAGGGGCTTTAAGGAACTTTAAAAATTAGATTTTGTAACACCTCTCTTGAGTAAGCACACACACGCAACATAAAATTCTTATGGAAAAGGTAAATTAACCAAGCAGCAGAAAACTGGAAAGAGATTCCCTATTACTTATATATAACTCTCAAAATACTGTGCCAAAAGTAGAACTTAGAAGAGAGATCTTTGAGAAAGTTCTGAGAACCTCTAGTAAAGAAAGTACCAAAGGCAGCAAACATCCCAAAATATGGACCTTTTGCAATTTCCTAATCGGAGCTAGCTGGCAAGTGAGAAATTAAATTCCAAAATAAAATTTTAGGTTATCAAAAGAATTAGAACAATACTCTTCAGTATTGCTTGTTTTATTTTTTAACCGAGTAACACAATTCTGTTTATTTTACTTTTTAACTGAGTAACAAAATAAGTATGCTTATTTTACTTTTTTAACTGATTAACAAAATTTCACCATCTAATAAAAACTGATCAAAGTTAAAGTTGCTTAAAGATAAAGCACACTTAAAAATTCACAAAATTTATTTTCTTTCATAGCCTAAAGAAATAATAATATCCTGTTGACTTTAAGATAAACAGGAATTCATCAAATTCACATGGTCGAAGTAACCCTATGAATTCATTGCTACGGTTGAATTAAAATTCCACTCATCCCACTTGTTCCACACAAATATCAAAAGACTCTCATGAAAGGTCTTTAAGAGGTTTTGGTTTAGTGCACTGAACCAACACGGAATCCACCTGACTTTAAATGATCAGAAACAAGCAGAGAATAAGGCTGTGAGGTAGCCTACTTATTCTCTAATCTTACAAACCTCTTAAGTTATAATCAGTGTCCCTCTCACAAATTGAGCAAGTGGAGTTAATACTCAATGCTAGCCACACAACATGCAAACATTTAAAAGAAAAATCTAGAGAAGTAGCAATTTACAGTATTTGTGTAAATAAATTACATCTATGAAAATTATATGCCATGGACATGGAAGTAATTTTCATTACAATTTTCCCATTCCAAAATTTTTGTACATTGACATAATGAAATCAGTCACAACTACAGCAGAAATTACAGTCTAAAAAAAGCAGGCTCTTACCTACAAATAAGGACAATATATTGATTCCAATAATGAACTTTGAATAAATTTTAAGTTAGGGCCATTCGTTCAAAGTAATAAAGAAGGAAAAACAGTGAGCATCCAGATCCCAGATAAACCTCAGAAAACCAGGCTTTATAAGTCAGTGGTCAGACTGCTCAGTAAAGAGTATTTTCTGCTTTTAGTTTTTTAGAATAAAGTCAATCAATTGCTTTTAGGGAATCACTGAAATGTGTGATTAGCAAGGAGGACACTGGTTCCCTGGAATCACCAAGACAGCCAATGAATGCTCAGTAAAAGCCTAGCATATGTTGGGTGTTAAAAGATACATCAATAAGTCACAACCATGAGTAACTGTAAAAGAAGGCAGAGATGATAAACAAGGGAGAACGCAACATGATTAAAGAGCTCATAACTGCGAAGCGCTGACTCACCTTTGACTGACTTGACATCTGGGGTCTTCTCCTGCTCTTTGCTTTTCACTGCAAGAGAGGAGGGCAGCATGATCAACTTCTTCAGCCAAATGCCCCCTCCATACACTGTAAAACTCAGGTCAGCTCTATTCCAATAGGTGAGCATGTTCAAAGTTTTACACAAAAGGGCAAGCCGCCCTGGAGCAGGGCAGGGCAGCTGTCAGGGGGTTTCTCAGAGAAGCGCCCTCTGAATGGCACTTGGTTAAGAAGGCTGAGTGCTTAAGGTGAGATGAGGTCAGGACACCTAGGTTCAAATTTGGGCTCTCCCATGTGATCCTGAACCAGTTATTTTAATTCTCAGGATCTCAATTTCCTTGATTTACAAAACTTGGTCATTCTTATGAGCTAATAGTCATTTTAACAGGCAGGATTTCAACCTTGGTCTGTGGAACCAGAGAAATCACTCTTCTACCCTTGGTTAAAAGCCTGCAGAATGACTGTGTGATTAAGATAACATGTGTAAATGAATGTCTCAGAGGCACCTCCCACCCCATACACTAGAACTCAACATGTACTTTTCCAGCAACGTGTCTCAGTACCCAGCCCTGTGCTGGGATGACAGGTGTTTGCAGCCGCCTCAGCTACATTTGCCAACTGACTTCATCTCCCTCTTGAAACATGAATTTGGCATGGCTTCCGTGAAACCCCACTCCTCCTTTTCCAGGGGCTCCTTCTCAGCTTATCCCTGGCCGACTTCTCCTCTGCCAGCTGGGAGTTTCTCAGGGACAAGATTGGTTCCCCTTCTCTCCATTCCATGTACATATGTACTTCCTTGCTGATCTCAGCTATTCTTCAGGTTTCAATACCACAGACATGCCATAACTCCCAAAGTACTCGCTCTAGTCTGAGTACTTTTTGATCTCAAATTCACAGTTTACTAACTTTCTGCCATCTTTCATAATCCCACTGCCTAAATGGGATGTACCATCTTCCCCCAAACCTGCTCCTAAGTCAATCTTTTTCTCCTCTCATAAATGTTTCACTGCCCACTAACTTCTCAGGCCAAAACTCCGGGAGTCATCTTCCACACTGTCTCTCAATCACCTCCAAACCACTTCTAAGAACAACGGGTTCCACCACCAAGTACCTTAGAGGTATATTTTATTGTATGCAAACTTTAAATTTTAATGTAGTCAAACTACATTGATTAAATTTTCCTATGTCTTATTTCTTACCCCTATATTTTCTTCTATATGATTTCAAACTTTGCTTTTTCAAATTCTGGGCTCCAACTCACCTGGCATTTATTTCTGTATTATCAGGGATAGCAAACTACAGCCCAAGGGCAAGTCCAGCCCACCACCAGTTTTTCATAGTGTTTCTGTATAGTCTATGGCTACAAGGATAGAGGAGAGTGAGGTGGACCAAATAGCCTTCAAAGCCTAAAATATTTACTATCTGTTTTTTTAAAGAAAAAGTTTGCTGACCCCGTGATGTACATAATGAGGAAGTCTTAATTTTTCTTTTTTTTTTTGGGCCAGCGGGATAATGAACACAACTTACTGATTAGTCCAATCTTTCCCAAATGAATAGGAACTCTTTATATACTACGTTCCCATACATACGTGGGTCTGTTTCTGGGCCTACTACTGTAATTACTAACTACGTAATAGGCTCTGGCAGAGCCAAGCCCTCTATCATATTCTTTTTTCAAAACTATCTTTCATATTAACTGTAGGACCAACTTGTCCTGATCCTAAAACCCTCATGGTAATTTCTTTTTAAACATTAAGCATTGACTTGATCAATTTGGGAGAGAGTTCACATCTTTCTGGTATTGAGTCTTTCTATTCATGAACACAGTATACCTCTATTTATTTGGGTCTCCTTTTAGGTCCACTTATATTTTGTAAACTCCATAGAGATTTCAGTTTTTTATTTTTAATGGCTACAGGGATACAACTGAGTTTCAAATACTTATTCTAATGGTATATGTATAAATTTTCTTAAACTTTCTCTGTACACAATTATATTGTCTGTGAATAATGACTCTGGTTCCCTTTCCCTCACAAAACTTTTCTATTCTTCTTCATGTGTGCTATAGTGAAGACTATATTAGTTTTCTTTTTGTTTGTATAACCCTGATCTATATTCTCATCCTTTTAATTTTCCTATGCTCTTTTTAACATTTAAACAGCATAGATTAGGAAACCAATCTGAAGACAACCATTTCTTTATTGTCTGGGTCTGTTTTTGTCACATTTCTGTTTATTGTGATTACTGTTCTTTATTTCCAAAGCAGAATGTTCTTAAAACTCAATTACAACTACACACCTGTTGACTTCTCCTAGTAATTCTGTTGATTTTACTTTATATATTTTGAGACTGATTTTAGGTGCAAACCAGTTCAGAATTTTATCTTCCTAGTACTCTACTCATTTTACCATACTTTACGGACTTTTTTTTCCAACCCTACTAGTATTTCAGCTACTTCACAAGCTTTCTTCTCTTTGCATCCATTTATTTTCAATTTCTCTGTCTTTATGTTTTTGCTGTGTTTCTGGTAAATAGCTGGATTTTCGATTATTATCCAACCCAAGTCATTACTCTTTGTCCACCTTTCGATGGACTTTTACTAGATTTTTATTTACATTTACTGTCGTTTATTTCTACCACCTTATTTCACACTACTGACTCTTCCTGTATTTTTAAAAATTATTATGAAACATTTAAAACAGAGGCAAGACACTTAGGTTTAGCAAAACTTAACATTATACCATATTTGCTTTGGAAAATTTTTTAAAGGAAATAAAACATTGCAGGTACAACTAAAGTCCCTCTGTAACCTCATTCCCCTTCTCCATAGAGAAACAATTTCAGAAAGTGAATGCTTAAGGTTTCCATCCACACTTTTACTATTTAACATACTTAAGTATTCATAAGCAATATATAGCATTGTTTGAAGGTTTTAAACAAGTGGTTGTACCAATTGCCATGTCCAGCAGCAGTATATCCTAATTAAATCTTGATACAGTCAGGCTTTAATGTCAACTCCTAAGTCTTTTCAAGAACTTCACTCCTGCAAGTAACATTTCTTTTCTGTATCATTTTCTCTCTCTCTACTGAGTTCTTTCTATCAGCAGACAAACAAGCTTAGCATCTTTTATTTTAAAAATAACAACAAAAACACCCCTTACCCTAAAGGCTCCTTGCAGTTATTGGCCTTGTTTTTCCCTCTTAACTGCAAATTTTCTTGGTTATTCTTTTTACTTTCCCCACTTCACATTCTCCCTTCAACCTGTTCCACTGACACTACCTTTATAAAAGTCATCAATTACTTCCATGTTATCAAAGTGAATAGCTATGTCTATTTACCTCAACCTTGTAAGTGACATTAAATACAATACTCCCTACTTTTTGAAGTACTATCTTCTCTTAGCTTTCAAGACACTCCACTCCTGTATCACTTGGCATTTTCTTTTCGAGTCTCCTTTGCCAATGGCTCATGTTCCTCAACTTATCTTCTAAAAGCTCAATTAACTCCAGCATTCTCTCTTTGTCTACAGTATGGCAGGTTATGCTACCTCACCACTGAACTCATTCTCCCCTTCTTAGCAAGAGGGTCGTAGCCTGGCTCACAGCTGGCTAGCTTCTCTCCATTTCCCAAAGCCCTTAAGTTAGCTGGGACCACATGACTAGGTTCTCAGCAATTAAATGTGAACAGGAGCAGTATGTGCCATTTCTGGCCAAAGCTTCTCTCTTCCCTTACCGTGGGTCAGAAAGCTGACAGAAGGGACTATGACTTGGCTTTATAACATGCAATAAAGCTTAAGAGAAAGAGGAATAAGACAATAGTAGGAAAATGATCCCTGAATGATCATGAAGGAAAGCCACCTGATGACCAGGGACCTGGACTGTTACACAAGAGAGAAATAAAGGCCTATCTTGTTTGAGCCATTGTACTCTGTGTCTCTCTGTCATGGAAGCTTAGCCTTTCAACGTAACTAATTCATATATTGTATGTCTTCCCTAGATGATGTCACCCAGTCCTATGTCTTTAATTATTATTTATGCAAAATACTTTTAAATTCAGATAGAGAACTCAAGTTCTGAGCTCTTTCCTGAACTACAGACTAGTACATCCAACTGCCTCCTTGGCAGATCCACATGGACTCACAACCACCGAAGGAGAACTGTGGATTCTTCCTACCCCAAACTCTCAGTTTTCCACAGCGTTCCCAGTTTTCCTTCACTCCAGCCACTTACTCAAGCCATGTTTTCTCTAACTCCAAGACAACCCCATTGCCCTCTACTCCCAGTAAACTGCAGCCTTCTCTCCATCCTTGAACAAAGCCAGCTCATTCCTACCTCAGGACATTTGTACTACCAATTCCCTCCAGCAAGAATACAGTTCCTTTCACCTTTTCAAGGCTGGCTCTTTCCTCATTGAGACCTCAGTTTAATACCATCTTCCTAGACAAGCCTTCCCTCTCTATCCAAATACAAACTGCCATCTGCTAAGCTGCTCCTATATCACTGTTTAAATTCCCTGCACAGCACTTATTACCTTCTGGAATTTTTCTTATTTTCATTCACCTACTCAACAGATATTTACTAAATTCCTAACTATATCCCAAGCACTGATCAGGACTTGAAGATACGGCCATGAACAAACATAAGCTTCCTTCCTAACAAAACACATGAGTCAGCAGATGGTGATAAACACTGCAGAAAAAAATAAAAAAGCAGGGCCACAGTAAGGGAGTGCAGGGGCTGGGGGCTGCAATCTTCAGCAGGCTGGTCAGAGAACCCTTCACTAAGATGTCAATTAATCAAAACCCTGGAGGAGAAGGGGGAAGAAAATAGGCTTGCATCTGTAAGAAGAGATTTCCAGTCAGAGGGAACAAGTGCAAAGGCCCTGAGGTGGGAATCTATTTGACAACAAGGTGGCCAACATACAAGGAAGAGTGCTGGAGAAAGGGAACAGATGAAAACAGAGGAGAAACAGGACGTAGATTATGTAGGGCCATATACAGGAAACCACTGAGGGCATCTGAACAGAGGTGTGGTATAATGCAGTTTGAAAACACACCAGGGGAATCAAAAGTGGAGGAAGGGAAACCAAATTGAAGCCTAATGCAAAAAAGCACTGTTTCCTTGATCGTCATAAAATCGGCTTCATCTTGACACTTAAGCTGAGATCTGAATGACATCCCCTCAGAGGACTTCATTAACCACCCAAACTAAATAGAGATGCCAGGGTGTTCATGGTTAGGGATGGTGAGAAGTGACTGGATTTGAGCTATATTCTGGGGTGAACCTAACAGATGTGCTGATGGATCAGACATAGAGTAGGAGAGAAAGAGGTTGAAAAAAGTACTAAAGTTTTAGCCTGAGCAATTTAAAGACCAGAAATGCAATCTATCAAGATACTGAAAAACAGATGAAGGAAGGTTAAATCTAAAGTGAAATTTTAGATATAGTAAGTTGTTTATTAGTTGACCTCCTAGACATCTATTGTTGTTTGGTGGTGTTGTTTAGTCGCTTGGTCATGTCTGACTCTTTGCAACCCCAAGGACTGTAGCCCACCAGGCTCCCCTGTCCATGAGATTCCCCAGGCAAGAACACTGGCGTTGGTTGCCATTTCCTCCTCCAGGGGATCTTCCTGACCCAAGGATTGAAGCCATATCTCCTGCACTGCAGGTGGATTCTTTACTGCTGAGCCACCTGGGAAGCCCAGACATTTATGCATAGAGGTAAAAAGTGGACCAACAGTTGGATATGGAGTCTAGATTCAGGGAAGAGAATCCAAGCTGGAGACATAAATCTGGGAGTCATCAGCAGATAGGTGGTATTTAAAAATGGTATTTAGAAACTGGATGGGAGCTCTAAATAGGACCATCTCCAGTTTCTATTCTTGCTACATCCAGTCTCCAAAAAACATCTAGAATGATCTTTTCAAAGCAAAATGAGATCAAATCACTCCTCTTTAAAATTTTAAAATATTGTCTCTGCACTTGGAATAACACCTTGCCGTGACCTACAAAGCTCTGAATCATCTGATCTTTGTGTACCTCTCAGAACCGCAATCACAGTGGGCTTCTTTTCTCTCTTGAAGGACACCAAACTCTTACCACCCAGCCTTTGAACACTATTCCCTGTGCCTGGAATGCTCTTCCCTGGCCTCTATACATTACCTCTTGCTGTTCTTCAGCTCTAAGTTTCAAGGTCGTCTGCTGAAGCCTTTGACTAACATCAAATCGAAATACGTCTCTTCTCTCAAGCTTTCTCTTTCATAACTCTTTACTCAGTTTGTAAAGAGAGAGAGAGAGAGAGGTTTATTGTCTACCCCAGCAGACAACAAGCTCCTTGGAAATAAGGATTTTGTCTTGTGCAGTGCTCAATACTGAGGGCCTAGCACAGTGCCTGGCAAAGAGCAGACATTCAAAAGTATTTGCTGAATAGACAACAGGCTATGAGCAAAGCAATTTGCCTCATTATGCCATTATACACAGAACACTCCTTACCCTAAAAAAAAAAAACACCAACCATTTCAACACTGTCAAACAAATTAGAGAGTTATCAACCATACCAAAGTACCTTACCAACACAGTTTCCTTGTACCATGTTACCACTTTCATTCATTCAGAGCGGTTTTCATTCATTCATCATGGTTTCATTCACTGATCACATGGCATCAGTTACTAAAACTCCCTGTGTACTTAAAAGGAATTCTTTATAGAGTTGAATGGGGTCTTTAGGAATCATCGAATTCTCAGCTGAGAGGAAAGTGGGTCACATTTTTCTGTCCCAGATGACAGAGTTAGTAGGAGAGCTGTCACATAAACCCAAGTCTGATTTAGTTCAGTGCTTTCCCAAAACCTGCATTTGTCTGGGAAATTTTCCCTGAAGCAACAAGAATCGATACAAGAATCACTATCATCCCAAAAGACCCACACTCGTCCACCCTGGATACGTACCCGTAACGAAATGCCAAAAACCTTACCTAGACTCAAAAGAAAGTTGCCTCTACTCAAAAAACTGGGCAGCTACTACTATTGAAAACTAGAAATATCAATATAAGCAGTTTGTCTATAAAGTTAGGATTCCAGTAGCAAGTAAACTTGCAAAGTCATCAAAAGGACTCTTCTTCATTAGGGAACTTCTAGCCGTAAGTTAAGTAATGTCATTTTAGGAACAGCAGAATCCCCCTCCCCCCATAAAGGGGAAACTGGAAAAGAGCACTCGTTGAAGAAAACAATTTTTTCACGTGTTGCTTTTAGACACAAACCCCTCGATATTCTGAAAAGTCGTAGACTTCCGTAATACTGAAGAAATTTCCATTTTCTGGTATAAACGCACCACCCCCACCCCACTCCCCGCGAAAGAGCTGTGTTTCTGCAGAAGGCATGCCCCAACCAGGTCCCGGCACACACTTCAGGAGCGGCCGACGTTCGGCCGCGCGGAGGCCCAGCTCCCTCCCACAACCCCGCTGGCCGGGCACGCAGGCCATCCGACCGCGCGGAAGCCGAGGCCTCGCTGCCCGAGGGCCCGCCGACCGCCGCCCCAAGCCCGGCCCCGCGCCCCTCGCTACCTTTCCGCCGGAAGAAGGACATGGCGGGGCCCGGGTCGGGGCGGAGGGCGCGCGGGGACTGCCGCGGGGAGGGCCCGGCTCCCCTCATTCAGCAACCGGCCCGGACTTCCGGGTCCGCAGCAGCCGCCGCGCTAGCCCAAAAGGAGACTCGTCTTCCGGGTGTGGGCCCCGCCGCCTCCTCGAGACGCGCGGGTAGCTCCTGCCGCCATGTTACCAAGCCGCCCGCCCGGAGTTCCGGTCCTTCGCCGCGCGGGGCTTCACGGGAGGCCGCGCGCCGGCCCCGCCCCCCGCCACGCCTCCTCGCCTCCTCGCCTTCTCCCGCGGCGGGGCCGGCGCCCGCGCCGCCCAAGGGACTCGCGCGCTACCTGCACCCGGCCCTGGACCCCGCGGCTCTCCTGTTCCTGGGCGGTGCGAGAGTGGCCCCTGGAGAGCCCTTGACCCGGCCGAGTGTGACCCGCACCCCGCGCTCTCAGGGATCGGACCCTGGCGTGGATCTCGGGATGCGGACTGGGTCCTGGGATGCGGACTCGAGGCACCACCTGTCCCCGCGACTTTGGCCGTGGAGGAGGTGCGTTGGGCTTATTACAAGACGCGATCGCTCAGAACGCTCAGCTCTGAAAGGGCAGCAACATAAAAACCTCGTCAGTATTTACCGGGCGGACTCCAAGGGTCATTCTTCCAGCCTCCTTCAAATGCCATTTTCCTAGGAACCTCTGACCTCCCTCGACCCTAGAAGCAGAGCGAACCTCCCACCCGTGGGTCCTCTCCCACAGGACTGGGAATTCTGCTTGTGTGCGGTAGAGGAGCCTGGCAGGAAGTAGCACATCAGTAAATGGGTTTTTCAATCAGTGAAGTCCATCAAGTGATGGACAGAGCAACGGAGGTCCAGAGAGAAGAGGCAACTGGTCCAAGGTTATTCAGGGTGTGGGTGTTGAGACTATAACCAGAACCCGGGGTCTAGTCACAATATAATCAGAGCAGGTCAATAGATTTGTCTGGGTTTGGTCCCTGGGTGGGGAAAATCCCCTGGAGGAGGGCATGGCAACCCACTCCAGTATTCTTGCCTGGAGAATCCCATGGACAGAGGAGCCAGGCGGGCTACAATCCGAAGGGTCGCAAAGTTGGACACGACTGAGCGACCAAACCACAGGGGCATGTGCGGTAGCGACAGCGGATATGTATGGAAAGATCACTGTGCGCGGGTGCCAAACCCTCCGGACGCTTGACGACCGTTGGAGAATCTCGGTGGGAGAACCAGGCGCAGAGAGATAACCTGCCCAAGGTCACGGCCTAACCAGAGGCGAAGTGTGTGGCATCTCAGACCTAGAGAGTTGGCTCCAGAGCCAAGGTCAAATCTCAGCAAGAGGCTGCCGCGGCTCCGGGCGTCCGAGTGTGACCTCCCTGACCTGAGCAGGTGCTAGCAATGCACCTCTGTCTGACCGCGGAGTCTTCAAGGGATCCGAGCGGCTCCCCCGCTGGTCAGAAGGGCGCTGACCCTAGCCTGGCGCAGGGGAACCACTCTCTAAGGTCTGTGGTGGGTGAAACCCGGGGTCCTGCCCACTTTTCCGGGAAGGGGAGTTGGGCTGACGTCCAGGGCCAGTGGGGCGGGGGTGGGTCTCTAGGTTCCCTACTTGGTCGGTGTAAGCGGTGAGGGACTTCCAGCAGGAGTCGAGTGCGAGGCGGCTGCGCTCCAAGCAGGGAAGTGCGGCGCCCTCTCTCGGGAGTCCCAATTGAGGAGTGCAAGGCATGCCCCCAATATCTCTAAGAGGGGAGCACGAGGGATGTGGGGGTAGCGCTCCGGTCCCTCTAAATCTCCTTCCTCTTTTCTCCAACTACGCATAGAATCAAAGTAAAGAGCTGAGTCCTACCGCGCCTTCCAGTGTGATATCTGCTCTGGAGGCCCCATCCCACCCCGCCCCAACAGAAATTCTGCCACTTTTATTCCGGGGACCAGAAAGCATCCCTGCTGCTGCTAAGTCACTTCAGTCGTGTCTGACTCTGTGCGGCCCCATGGACTGCAGCCTACCAGGCTCCTCGGACGTCCATGGGATTTTCCAGGCAAGAGTACTGGAGTGGGGTGCCATTGCCTTCTACGGAAAGCATCCCAGTCAGTTAATAATACCCGTCGTTATTTATAAAGTGCTTATCATGTGCTCTCAAGGGTCTAAGTGATGTATAGTCACAGTCTCGCCAATCCTTCTCCTTCTCCCCTAACAAAGACCCTGTGAGGTGGCTACCATCATTACCCCCAATTTACAGAGGATAACTCAGAGGCTCAATGAAACCCAGGATCACAAGGCTAGTAAGGGGTAGGGGTAGGATTTCAGTCACTGTCCCTCTGACTCCAAAACTATTTGCTTGTAGCACTTCCTCCTGTCTCCCCCACACCCCTAATCTGCTGCTAATTCCCATTTATCCCATGTTCTAGTTAAGATGTCTATTTATTGGGCAAGCATAAGGGGATGAATGCTATTTAGCAGAGCAGATGCCTTCTGAATCATCACCCCTTAAAGTGTTTATACGCTTAAGGAAGATTTAAGGGTATTATCATTTAATCTTCTGGAATGTGATGATCCACATAGGAACAGAGTTAAAACAAGAATATAGAAATAAACAAGAAAATTCCAGTGGCCCAAATGCCCAGTTGTGACAAATTGATACTTTGCATTTCTAAGTTAATTTGTTAGAGCCACTTTAATTTACACATAAAACAAATTTAATTTTTGTGAAACAAAATTGAGTTTTACCAGAAGGAATTTCTTTCATTCCTAATTTTAAGAGAACCCTCACAGGCTTTTTATACCAGTTGTATTAATTATACAAGCCAGTGAGGTAAAATCAGCAAGTTAATTCTCACAAATCCAGTGCATAAAACCAATCTTCTATGACAAATACTATTTACAGAGGACTTCCCTGGTGGTCTAGTGGTTAAGAACTCGCCTTCCAATGCAGGGGATGTGGGTCCAATCCCTGGTCAGGGAACTAAGATCCCACTTGCTGCAGTGCAACTAAACCTGCTCAGTGCAGGGAAAACCCAGCGAAATCAAGAAACAAATACTCTTTACAAATTGAATGAACTGTGTTCTACAACAAATATTCAAACGCATGTAACTGTCTATATCAAGCACCCTTTGGTTTGATAACTTGCTAGAAGGACTTGCAAAACTCACTGAGAGCTGTTACATACTCATGGGTGTAGCTTATTACTGCTAAAGGATGCATACTAGGATCAACCAAGGGAAGAAATGCCAAGGGCAGAATCCAGGGAGGTACCAAACACAGAGCTCCGGTTTATCCTTTCCCCAGGGAGTCGGACAGCATGACTTCCCAGCTTTGAATTATAATGATATTCATGGAGGACTGCCAATGAGGGGAGCTTACCCAAGCCTTGGTGTTGAAAGCTTTTCTGGGGGGGTTCCATCACATAAGCATGGTTATCGTCCTTGTGGTTGATCTCAGTCTCCAGATCCTCAAGAGATCACACTGATATCACATGACCCAAAGTCCCTACCTCAAATCATTTGTTATTATATGGCTGGCCAAAGGCCAAACAAAACAGAACACTCCTATCAGACGCGATATTCCAAGGGCAAGAGATGACTTCCCAGCAGCCCAGGGTTAAGGTCAGACTTTCCTTTGGGCAAGTTAAATTATTTTCAATACAAATGTCTAACAGGTTTAAAATTTTCACCAGCGTGGCAGGCTCCTGAATCTTTGTAGGGCTTAGATCTCGCCTTCTGGTGTGTATGTGTCTTACCATGGCATCTAGAATACCTGCGATTTCTTGCTCACTGGGTGTAGATAGCATGATGTCATCAACAGTGCCCCAGTGGGATGTTCTGCAGAACATCCAGACAATGAAGGGTTCTTTGGACCTGTACTGTCCAACATGGTAGCCACTAGCTATGTGCAGCTTTACAGCACTTGAAATGTGAGTAGTTGAATTAAGATGTGATGTGCTGTAAGTGTAAATTATACATCATATCTCAAAACTTGGAATGAAAAAATAATGTAAAATAGCTCATTAACATTTTATATTGATTCCATGTTGAAAAGATAATATTTTAGATATATCGGGCTAAGTAAATGCAGGTATTATTAATTTTACTTATTACTTTTTTATTTTTATTATTATTTTTAGTGTGATAACTGAAAATTAATAATAAAAGGAAACCTCAACTGAAATTGAAGTTAGGAAGGCCTGAAGAGCGAGCTCTCCCACGCTGCCCCTCACAATTAACTACCCCAACAGGAAGACATCAATTCTTTACTGGGAGATGGAGAGAAGTACTCCCAAACAGGAAGTGTAACTACCCAACTACCCCAGCAGGAAGGCAACACGCTCAGCCAAGGAGAAACTGTCTTCCTCTGAACTTTTTGTTTGCTCCAGTGAACTTTGATTTTTTCCTTGCAGATTTGGTGTCTGCTGAGGGCCAGATTCCTGGTTCATAGGTGGCTGTTTTCTTCTCTGTGTCCTCACAAGGCAGAAGGCACAAGAGAGCTCTCTAGGGTTTCCTTTACTTATTTTTAAAATATTTTATTATTTAAGTAATTTATTTGTTTGGCTGCATCAAGTCTTGTGGCACTTGGGATATTTGTTGCTGTGTACAGTGTCTTTAGCTGCAGCATAAGAACTCTTAGTTCTTTAGTTGCGGCATGCAAATTCTTGGTTGCGGCATGTGGGATCTAGTTCCCTGACCAGTGATTGAACCCAGGCCCCCTGCTTTGTGGAGTCTTAGCCAATGGACCACCAGGGAAATCCCTGGGATGTCTGTCCTTTATCTGGGCACTGATTCCAGTCATGGGGGCTCTCAGCTGACCTAATCACATTTTAAAAGTATCTTTTCCATGATGGCTTATCTCAGCATGTTGAATATAGTCCCCTGTGCTATACAGTAGGACCTCATTGTTAATAATAGTGTTTTTATTGCTGTTATACTAGTGAATAATCTAACTCCCACATTTCAACCACAGAAAGTGAAGCTTGTGGCAGGGCTGCGTAAAGGGCCCCTTCCTAAGGGAGGAGTGAGGGGTGGGTGAGTCAGGTGGGAAAGGAGGCAGAGCCAGTGGGGGGACAGTGTTCCTGAG